CCCCCCATCTGGTCACTCGGCTTCTGGGCACAACTTGTGCCTTCCATTGTCTTTTGTTTACACCAATTCCAGGTTTATCAGATCTTACAAAGAGAAAGAGTGAAAAGAATAGAGAGAGAAATCGGGAGAAATGAAACATAATCACCCTGTGGTCTTTAGAACCCAGGAGAAAGAGGGTGACTGATAAAACACACACACAGTGTGGAAGGGGGTAGTTGCTGGATTTCTACATGTAATCGAGTGCGTGTACCGTCTTAGTGCTGACTGCCTACCAATAACCTCTGTTCTGTTCGCTTTTAGCTGGCTCCTTCTTCACTTGAACATTCATTAGTGTCTTGACCAGGCTCCCTTGTTAGCCAAACAACCGTATGCCTGGCTGACATTATTCAAATCCCTTGCCATATTGTGAAATACCAAAATGTCAATAGGAGGCTTGTCCACCATGCTTCCCCGCTGCAAACACTCCATCCAATTAGAATTAGCACCCACCCACAGCATGTTCTTCAGACCAGCGCAATACAGTTGCACCCTTACCCTCATCAAGCGGAGAGAGTGAAAAAGATAGAACTTATTTTCAGATCTGTGCCTGACATTAATGAGTGTAGAGGCTGGAAGAGAAAAGATGCCGGAGGAAGTAGAGAGAAGATAAGAGGGAAACAAGAGACATTTGCTCTGCTGAAACATTATGTGGGCACCTTAAGTTAGATAATAAGTAAAGCTGAAAATGGTATTCTGCTTGTGCTCTATGTTGTCCCTGCAGTAAAGGCTTGACCAACGATGCAGCTAAAAAAAAACAAACACACAAGGTTTGGATCGGTTTAATGTTTTGGCAAATGCTGAATTACTGTTTTTGAGAAATTAACGCCCTCTCACGTCATGACAAAAAGAACAAGCCCACTCCAAAATTTGGTGTGTCATGGAAACAGTTCAGTAGTTTGTGAGTAATCCGCTCAATCAAACTGACTGGAATAGCACTGAGTAGAGCACATACCTCCTTTAAATCACAACAGTCCCCTTAAATTCAATCAAGCTGCTCCACATTGCACACAGTCACTCTCAGTCCACTAAATATGCCTGATTTTTACCTCCATCACGTAGGTTATGTTTTCACCCCTGTCCCTCTGTTGGTTGGTTGGTTGGTTGGTTGGTTTGGTAGCAAGGTACAAAAAAACACTGAATAGATTACCACTTAACTTGGGGAAAGAATGAGTGAAGAACCTATTAAATTATGGCTGGAATTTGTTGTTACTTTCTTCAATATTGCAGATATCATGTGTGTCTTTTAAACCAATTTTTTCCACTTGTTTCCCTGGATATAACACATGGATCTTAATGAAAGAATTCTGGCTCTTACAGGGAACTGATATCGATGTGCATGTGCAGTGTGGTGCAGCTTGATTAAATATAAGGATCCTGATGGGCTTTGGCAGGGGCATTAGTTCTACTGAATGTCATTCAAATGTCTTAATGATCTATGAATTATTCTGTGGGAAACAGAGAAAATGTTTGCCATATTTCACATTGTTAAAGAAAGTGTTTTCTTGCCTAAATTGAATGGGTTCTTTCTTCGGCCATGTCCCATCCTTCTACCAAGTTTCGTGGAAATCCATGTGGTCATTCTTGCATCATCCTGCTGACAAACAAATAACCAAACAGACGGGTGAATACATAACCTCCTTGGCAGAGGTAACAACACATCTTCTGGGTCATATAATTATATTATAAGACTTCTAGAGCTGCTGTTCATGCCTGACAATGATTTAAATATATTTTTTACTTTTGGGTCCGGTAAACAAGGAAATCCAAAGTAATGCAGAGAAACGTCTGAGAGACAGAAAGAGGGAACTGACTGAATAGAACACAATGGAGTAATGAAAAAACAATAGAAGAGCTGTGAGTGGACACATTAAAGTGTGGGTGCGTGTGTGTGAGAGAGAGGAGAGTATGGGAGAGAAAAATAAATAATAGGAGAGAAAGAGAGAAAGTGGAGCTATCAAAGATAGAAAGCTGATTTCTCCGTCCTACTTGACAGAATAATGTTTTGAAAGCTGCGGAGGCCGACTGCTCACGATTATATTCTCCTCCTGTTTGAGCAGCTTTTTACCAAGACCAAAAAAAACTTGTACTTTCTGTTTGATTCTTTGTTGTAGTGAAAAGTCCAGCTGCTGTTTATTCAAGTATAAGAGACGATTTGACAACTTAAAATGTTTTGATGCACATAATTAGTTGCTCTGATATTCTCTGTCACTTTTAAATTTTATTGAGTTTTGAGTTTTTAAAAAGACTAATAAGGTATTACATCAGGTAATGGCTTGTCAGGAAACACTTTAACTGCTGAAAAAAAGTCGTATTGAACGTTGAAGTAAATGTCAGTTGGTTCAATCTAATGCTTGATCTAAATTACTATGTAAAATGATTTACTTCTATCCAGTTACCACCTGGGCTGGAGTTTAATTTGGTGATCATACCTGTCTCTTCCAATCAAAACTGTGTGATTTTTTTCATTATATATCTCCTCGGTTTTATTCCACATTTGAGTCGTATCTGAAAAAAGTGGAGAAAAAGAAAAGCAGATATTATGCTGTGTGGATATATTCATTAATTTTTGAAATGTCGCCAGATAAGGTTCTGAATTTCGAATCAGTCAATTGCAGAAGATATTGTTCCTTTTTCTTTTGTTAAAGTAATTTTCTGGGTATATATTTGTTTTTATTAGCTGTGACAATTACGTGAGTGGTTTCCCTGCCTGGTTTCCTTTTGTGTACTCAGACAACTGCTGATATTCAAATGCAAGATATTAAAACCAACGAAGAATCTTCACAGATGGTAGTTGGTAAAACATACATGATGTTTTTTTTCATTTTTGTATCATGCTGTTAAGAAAAAGCTTCTGTTGTGTTGTAATATTTCTTTCAAGTGATTTATAATTTAAAAGTTTAATTGAGTTTGGTCTAATTGCCCTGTGGGTGGTGTGTTATTGTAAGAGGCATGAATTCACTACCTTTTGCTTTTGCCTTTTTATGTTTCTCTTTCAGTGTTTGGTTGGACTTGATTGTACTACTCTGTGACAAGCTTTATACCATCAGCGTAGTGGAAGTAGGGAAAGAAGGGTCTTGAGTCAGGTTTCTCACATTGGCTCATTCACTCTTGCCTCTGCAGGCTGTTCAAGGACGTCAGGCCAGGTGTCAGTGCCACCACCAGAGGGCTCCCGCTTCACTACGACAGAGCGACAGGCAGACGGACAAACGGACACAGCATCACTATGACAAGGCCACCCAGACGTACTGGAGACCCCCCAGCCATGCTGTGAGTCTGAATCTGATAATGTCTATGCAAAGCAGGATATTGAAACTCAGTCTGAAACGAGTTCAAGCGCAAAATGTGTGTGTTTCATGTGATTTCAGCATTTTCTCAACATGTTATATATAAACCTGCCTGGTGCAACAGTGCACATCACAGTCTCTAGGGATTTTCAGAGCCAAAGGCAGAAGAACGTGGGGGGCCCTGCAGTGAACCAACACAAACACCCTCTGCAAAATGATAAACAAAGTGAATAATGTGCGTGTATATGCAGTGCAAACTCTCACTGCCATTCCAGGCACATCATCCATACACATTTAGACGTTTTGGTCTTCTACCAAACCTCTAAAATTATGAAGCGACTGGCAGAAAGATAGCGACATCAGTTAGGAGTTTTCTGGGCATAGCCAATCATAAAATTAAATAAAATTTAAGAGGTTCTCACAAAATTGTCATTGCCCAGGGCCCCAGTCTCAGCTCATGGCTCCAGGCAATGACCTGCTTTGTCTCCCCTGTTGCAACGGACCTGATCACAATTCAATATTCACATCAGGAAAAAAACTGGTGGGCATGTGCAGTATGCTGCTGAGTCACTCCACTTACTGTAATCCAGTCATACCATTTATTTTCTGCCTCTCAGTCTGGCAAGCATGTGTGAAGTGTCTGACGACTGCACGCTGGCCTCTCTGTAGCACAGTTTATTGGGTTGTTAGTGGGCTTGTCACTCTGTCTCACTCTCTCCAAACCCAGATCTCACATGAACAGAGAGATGTGAGTCTCCATCACTTAATGTTTGAGTGATGGAGAAAGAGAGGATGTAGGGGAGGACAATAGAGGAAGATTCATGTGTTAAGAAAGCAGAGAGAGAGAAAGGTGAAAGATTGATAGGTGTTCAGTGGGTTCAGTATTGTGGCACAATAGCTTGCTGTGTGGCAGCCAAGTATTGATTCAATAGCTGTAGTGCCACAGGCAAGGTGCCTAGTAAACACTCACCTAATTGACCCGCCTTTAGCTCCAAAGAGTGACACACACACACACACACACACACACACACACACACAAAGAGGCGGACGTAAGCAGTATGAGAAGATTATAAAAAGACAATAATAAGAACATTATACCAAAGGGGTTCCTGTTTTATAGCTTATGTATTTATTTGTGATAGTAAATAATAGAAACAAGGTCCAGCTATAGGGTGGCGTACACAAAAGTATTACGTGGGGGGGATAAAGGACAAAACATGTGAACTCGGTAGCTAGTGGGCCTGCTTACCACAGGAGCATGTGGCTTAACAGTTGCCATGGAAACTATCAAAGCAGCACTGGCTGTACTCTGTTGGAATCATCTCCATGGTGGGAACATCTATCTGTGACTTGGAGTATAATAACACACTAAAACACAGCAAGACAGAGTTTGTGCTTTCCTCTCAGTTCTTCAGAAAACTCCCCCCGTCTCTCTCCCTTTAATCTACATTACAATGTCATCCCCACGCCCAACACCATTTCCTGCTCTGTGTTCTGCAGCGTGGTGGTGGCGGTGGGGAAAACGCATTATGTTAGTGACATTTAACTTTTCAGAGCGCGCTGCTCCTCTGAAAGGTTAGCTGTGAGTTTTGCGTCGTGTTTTTTGACAGGGCAACAAGAAAAAGAGCGCTCAGAGTAAACAAATAACCGAGAGAAAGGGATGTTTCTTTCTGTGTCTCTCTTACTCTTTAGATGGTATCAAAGCTCGTTCTCTTTTACGCTGACAGGTTTTACACCTTGAGCAAGCCTCAGTTCACAGTGTTCCTCACACAATGTTTCTTTACTTTACCTGTCGTATTTTTCAACACAATCTTTCTATGTCCTTTTTTTAGTTTGCCTCAGTGGCTTCAGTATTGTTTGTCTAACCCTTTTCATTTCTTTCCATTTCTTTTCTTTTTCTCCACTCAAAACTTCATTGTCTGTAAGTTGTCCCCCTCCAATGCACACACACACACACATACATGATGTGATGTTGTCCTCTTTGATTTTTTTCACCATTACTCTCTGAAAATCCCTTTTCTTTTGATTTAATTGTCGGATTGCCCCCTGACAGTTAGAGTGCTGCTGAATCAGAGTCCTGGAGCAGCTCGCTCTCTGATAGCACTTTTGAGCGCTAGGCTGCGAGCATCGGCAAAGAATAATTTTGATGTCACAGGTCAGAAGCTATAATCTTTTTAAAGCTTTTTATAGCCGATATCAAGTTGGCTTATCAGCAGCCCGGAGGGTAAAGCGCACAGCGCGGTCTTGGGAGAACGAGCGCTAAGTCCGACCAACTTCTGAACATAGACATCAGACAAATCTCATTGGGCTTTGAACTCAGATTAAGAGTATAACAAAACTGACCTTCAGATATAGGTATTTAAAGACGTTTGCTTTTGCAGCGTAAAGTCCATTTTTCATGTAACATCTTTAACCAGTTGATATATTCTTCTCAAAAGAATCTATTCCCATATTTCTTTCTCATAGGAACCAAAATGTGGGCTTTTACTTTGTAGGCTGATTTTTTTATACAACTTGACTATTTGTGGAGACGTGCTCATCTCCAAACTTCTCTCAGTTTGTTGAAAGGCTTTGGCAACATATCCTATAACACACTGCTTTAGGCAACAGTTCCTTCTGCTTCCCTTTTTAAATCTGTGCACGATCCATCTTTGAGTCCAAATAGGTTCTAAAATGAAAGGTCTTTGACTGTCAGCGTGCAAGGTGCAGATAAGTATCGGACATTTAGCCTTTCCAACGAAATGAATGCAATCTATGGCGGCAGCAGTGGGAGTGACAGGTACAGACTTAAGAGAGAAAGACAAGTTCTCATGTAAGAGAGAGGAATGCAGTGCATGCCACTGGATGGTAACAACTTTATGTGTGTGAGCGAGCATGCAGCAAATAGTTCCGTAAATAGCACAGCACACGACTATACAATGCAGAAATGGATCAAAACACCAAGTTAGACATTCGGTATGTGACTGTGAGAAGTGTGACATTGTTTTGGTTCAATATTATACTGTGACAGCACAAATTAGAATTTTACGGAGATAAAAAAAATGGAAGCACTGCACTTGTTGCAGAAAGATACACAAGATTTTTACCAAAATGACGCATGTAGAAAAGTAAAAGTTGCCCTGAAAGACACAGCAGCAGAAATGTTTGCTGTGCCTCCTCTTTATTTTGAAAAACGAACAAAACATGAGCAGAATGATTTCAGTCATTTTGGTTGTAGCAATAGAAAACTGTGCAAACTTGTGTTTGTTTGTCAGAGGAGTGATAATCTGCATATGTTCGTGCTCCTGTGTGTGTGTCACATGCTTCTGTGCGGGGCCCACACAGTGAGACTGATCATTGAGTGCAGCAGACTGAGGACTGAGGAGGCGACCTTGTTAATAACCCAGATAAACAAACACGCAGATGAGCAGCAGCAGTGGAACAATGGCAACACAATAGGCAGTGTTTCATCAGTGGCAGACAGAGAGGGTAATTACAGCTACCCTCCCACTCCCTCCATGCCTTTTTTAAAAATCTTTTCTTCTCTTCTCACACCTCCCTTTATGTCTGTTTATCGCTCCTGCTCTCTCACTCTATTTTCTTTCTCTCTTGCTCCAGCGATGCCTTTGTTGCCCAGTATTTTTTATCTCGGTCATTCTTTCTTTGACGTTACCTCACTCCTTCTTACCTAAGTTGCAATAAGATCAATTTTCTGTCGCAGTGAGAGAGAGACAGGGAGCATTGAGCGGGGTTAGTGATCAGTGTTAAGCTGCAGGTTGAAAGTACAAGTTTTCTTTCTCTCAGATCCTGACATTACCACTCCACCCACATCTCACATCTCGTCTGTCCTCTTGCATCACAGATACAACATCCCTCACGCACACACATACACATGCACGATCATTAATGCTCACTCACACTGCAGAGTCATCTTGGACAGGAGAGGATTTAATTTGCCAAACTCAGTGAAGTAAGACGTCCTGGACAGACCTGAGGTATTACCCGCAGGCAACCAGGAGAAGCTCCATGTATTGGATTAGGGGGGATTCTAGCAGAGAGAGGCAGTTTTAGGAGCACAGCGTCGTGTATTCCTCTAAACACTGCTGAAAACGTTGAGAACAATTTTACGTGACTTTTTAAATCGTTGTCCTGCTCTGCCAAGTTTTACCATCTGCTTTTGGGACCCAGTCTGCACAAACGCGATAGTTTAACAAATCCTGAGAGTGCATTTGGCTATAAGTAGGGCCTCGAGTGAACATGCCACTTTTAATATGGTAGATAATTTCATTTGAGGAAAATTATATCTGAAACACAACTGCATTATTTTGTTGATTACGTTTTATGCGCTGTTGCTTCATTTCTTTTTTAGATGTGGAGCTAAATTTAATTCCCTCCAAATTTAATCCCCTCTGCCTCAACAAAATTGAAACCAAATCACCTTGATCGCCTCCTGGTGGCTGGGTGGAGTACAGGTCATAAACCCTGCCTCCTCCATGTTAGCACAGATGCTATAAAAACAGGGTTTTACATCATGATTGATAGCTTTCTTTACAAATAAATTGGTTTGTGAAGTTTGATGACAGATTTGAAAGGATGCTGCCTGTTAGGACAATAATATATTTTATTTATTCTCAAGGAGTTTTGCACCTGTTTCCTTCAAATTTGGACTGTCAGTTTCCACTGCAGTTTTTGTCACCGCTAACTGTGACAGTACAGACAACTGCACCTCCAGTACTTCTTGGGTTTTACCAGGAGGATGTACTGTGTGGGTGTGTTTGGCCCGACTATAGGATTTGTGAGTTCCGCAACGAGGCAGAGAACTGTTGCTGCAACACAACTCCAAACAGGAAGTAGTGATAACAGCCTTTGAACCCAGGGTGTCTGTGCGGTTGTTGAGAAATGAAAGAAGTTCAGATGACATGTATAGAATATGAAAAAAAAAATGCCTTTGTATATTTTCCCAATTTGTGTCTCCCTTGCCCTTGTGAAGCTCTGTCGGCCCCA